CGCTGACATGAATCAATTATTCGGCCTGCTACTAGGAATGTGGTTCACTGTCATGTTACGCAGTTTTTCTCTCCAGAACATATTTTACAAATTTATAAGTCTACCATTCGTCTATATATTGAATATTTCTGACACATATATAGTACGGCGCTCCTGCTATACGTTTCTTAATAAAATCCAAAGAATCTGTAATGTTATTGGTCATGACCTGGCATATCAGCTTCATTCCCTTTCACACTGACTTAATGTAGCTTCCCTGTGCCTTTTCTATAAATAATGGTAATTGTTCTCTATAGTACCTAGACTTTATAAATTGTTCTCTATAGTACCTAGACTTTATAAATTGTTCTCTATGGTACCTAGACTTTACGAATTTAGGCGCAATACTAGAGTGACAGCAAGGTGTCATCATTTAACAGTTGAAATGCTAGATCCAACCGTAAGTTCTATTCTGACAGTTTCTTTTATCGTACTTCACACTTCCGGAACTCTCTTCCGGCTTCTTACTTCCCAGTCAACTTTGATCTTCAAAAAATTTAATATGATGTCAATTGTTATCTTCTTTCTTCTTAATACTTATTCTTTTATTATTATCTCACCTTAATAGTATTTTTTTATGTTTTTCACGTACCCTCTAACACTCAATAGCCCCCTTGCATCTTAATGACTTTATTGCCTTTCTTGGGGTGAAATGATAAAAAAAAACACGATGCATTAAGCGAATTAAAATATTACCAATTTTATTAAAAAAATATCCTTCTTTATGTGCGGTGTGCCCTCAGGACGTAGGCGATCATGAACCTCCACAACTTCCTATCTCTTGTAGCTCTTAATAAAATTTGTCTTCTTGTTATTTCTCCTAAACCCTGTTCCACCATCCATTTACTCAAGCTCATTGTTATGCGCTGTTTTCCCCTGCCTCTTGCCTTGAATCTGTCCTGTGAGTATCAAATTTACCAAGCCTCCCTTCCTTATTATATGTCATAGAAAATTCAACTGTCTCTTTCTGGTGTTAATTATAAGTTTCTTTTTTGTTTCTATTTTCTCTAAAACTTCGTCGTCTCACATGTTCGGTCCATGGCATCCTCAGCACTTTTCTGTAGAACCATATTTCTGTTGCTTCGAGTCTCTTCTTCATCTTTGAGGAGATTGTCCAGCATTTACTGCCATATAGGAGGACATATATGATGTAACAGTTCAGTACTCTTCTTTGTTTCTAACGAAGTTTTCCTGTTTCTTAATATTCTGCTTAGCTTTTGCAATGGCTATCACAAATGCTTTTGCTTTTGGCTATCACAATGCTCCTTATGGTTTTAATGTCTCACTTTTCCGTCCTCTGTTAAAAAACTTCCCAGATATTTATTTTTTTGTAATTGAGTTTGGTATATCCGATTTGTAATTTGCATTTCTGTCGCATCCTTTTGATAACAACCAATCATTCGGTCATTCTGCAGTTAATGTTTAATCTTCTCTTCTTGCTTTCTTTCACTACCTTCTGTTGGAGTTCTCCTTCTGTGTCTGCTATCAATACTTTAAAATAATACTTCTTTTCTCTAAGGCTTTTCATCCTCACACGGCCGTCCTGGGTATGACGATAAACTACATCCAGCAGCAAGACCTCTAATCAGGAGGTTTTTAGGAGCGTTGAACCATCTCTTAATTGCTGTTGTTTCCAGGTCCACCCTGACCCGGAGTGGTAGCAGCTGTTAGGGTCCCAGTTATGGGCAAATAGTTAACCACCAAACTGGGGTCAAAACACTATGAAAGTATAAAAATAGATTTTTATAGTAAAAATTCCAGCCATACATTTTTGAAAAAAAAAAAAACCCTCTTTACAAAAATACATCAGTGAAACCTGATATACAAACTGATTTCTTACAAAGAATACGTATTCAATTCATCCGAACCTATCCTAAAAATCTTGTCGGTATTAAATAACCTATCGAGGTTGATATGCCGTAAAACAAAATAAACCAAACCAAACCAATCCTCACATGAGATGTCGGGTAAATCCAAAAGAACGCGACGAGGCCAGGAATGCTTGCATCAATGGAAACGACTTAGGATAAAGTCTGTGACTTCAGAAGGGGGTTACTTTGATGGAGTTTAAATGCCGAAATGAGATGTTTTTTGTCTTCTTTTTATAGCACCAGTCCCGATACATTTTGATCAAACCTCGTATATATATATATATACATATATATATATATAAAGTAACGCGAATTAACAGCGTCTAAGAATTTGAATGAAACCTGTCGTGTAATTGATTGGGGTTGTTGTAACTTCTTCCTTTAATGTCGTTCTTATCATTCACCCCTTAGCCATCTATATCTAGAGACGAGACGCGTTAAATTTGAGCAACATCTAGCCGACACACTGGGGTTAAAAATAGGAAACTAAAATGATACATATGACACACTCATATCCTCTCTCCCACCTCACTTCCTCACTTCGTTAATTTTACGTATACTTGATGAGGTCCGTCAAAAACGTGTGAATTTCTTTTCATTTTTCATTTCAGCTTTTGGAAGTAAAGTCTGATGATCCAGAACCCTGTTAAAGGGGTTATGGTGAAATAGCTTATTACATGGAATCTTAACGTGGTCTGTCTTTTATTCAAACATATCTGCTCTGAATTTTACATTGAGCTCTCTGGATATCATCCTCCTCAGGACTACCCATACGGATTACCTAATTTTGCATAAAATATATATATATATATATATATATATATATATATATATATATATATCAAATATGTGGTGCAGTTCAATTTATTTTTAAAAAATTTAAGCGAGAGCATTTTTTTACTAATATGGCAATTTGAGAATTTTTTTGTAGGAATTTATCAATGTGCCATGAACTAAATAGTTCAATAAGTAGATTAATGTCTCAGTTATTTTGTTTTAAGTTTTTCACTTGAATTTTAAAAAAACTTCAACCTTAGCGTTGCGACTGCACGTTCCAAAAGTTTGAATCCGTTATCAATAACTCATTTTAAAAAAAACATATTTCAGTTCGCATTATAATTTTTCGTCTCCGATGCTATCTAAATTTTACTAAAAACAAAATAATTTCCATGCCTGAAGATGACTGAATGTACAGTCGAAAATACTTGCGTAATTAAAAAAGACCTTATACAGCTTATAATTAAAAAAAACTAGGGTCATAACATTCAACGAGTGATTAGTAGGTTAATGTATCTTTAAAATTTAAAATTCATTAAGTTTATTAATTTACTTTTTTGTATGAATGATTCATTGTTATATATATATATATATATATATATATATATATATATATATATATATAATTACTAAATTTTTTGTTATTGATTAAAAGTTGTTAGTTAAAAGTTGCAAACTAATTAAATACCTTCTAAAATACCACCATGAATAGGCAAATATATGCACTATATATATATATATATATATATATATATATATAATGCAGATAATGTAAAATACTTTTGACAAACCGAACCCTGTAAACTAAACAAATAAGAAAATGAAACCGAAAAAAATAAAAATAAAATAAACAAAAAACCTAAACAAATAAACAAATTAAGTAAATAATAAATCCTCAATTGATATTGGCTTCTGTTATTTGGCAGAGTTCTTTGTGATTTTGTAGCGCCAGTCTAAGAGGTTCGAAGAAGGACGGTCGTTACTATGACCTACTGAGTTCATGTGATCCAAGCCATTTTATTTTGGTTTGTTGTTTGATTGATTTTTAGCGGCATATTAATCTCTATGGCTTATCTAATGCCGAATGCTTATTTTATGGCTTCAACTAAAGATAAAATGTATCGTTAGTAATTTTTGTTCATATAAAAATATATTACTGGTATTTTTACTATAAAAACGTATTTTTATACATTCATAACGTTTTGTTTGGGGAGGTTGCTAGTTGCCCATAGCTGGGACCCTAAAAGTGTTACCACCCGGCGAACCTGGGAACAATAACAGTTAAGAAGAGGTTCTACACTCCTCAAAACCGCCAGTTCTCCTGATCAGAAGCCTTGCTACTGGATGTAGTTTATCGTCATACACACAAAGCAATTTTTAATCAGTGATCTGAGAAAGCAGTTGCATGCAATTAAGCATTTCTGAATGGGTAGGGTACCATGCATAATATGAACGTGAGTTCGATCCTCACGGAATCGCCCTTGTTGGCACCCTGATTCAGACTTACATGAATTTAGCAAAATAATTATGTTCGTAGTAGCAATCATAATAGTTATATTAGATGGAAAATAATTATGGCGTAACTAATGCAACTTTCATCAAAGTGACTGATAGATACAAGGACACCCTTACTTAAAGATATTCAATCTTTTTTATAATGATGTTCACTCTGTACAAGGTCCAAGAGCCACTCGAAGTAGAGAACTGCATAAGAGCCACCACCCCAAACAAGGTGATAATGGATGTTTACGTGCTAATACCCTTGGAAAAGGTATGAATCCTCTTATTCTCTCCCACCCGCAGCTATGGGTAAATAGCAGGACAGACCGGGTTCTATAACCTTGGATGGCAACTGGTCTACCGCAAAAAGAAATGGCAACCTGCTGCGGGAAATATCTGCCTCGTCAGTCATGTATCAAAAGATACATGATCGCCTAAGCGTGTATCACGCATGGCACATAACTGACTTTCCAGTCGAATCCATTACATTCACTTACGTGCTAATACCCTTGGGAAAGGTATGAATCCTCCTCTTTTCCTTCCAGCTATGGGTAAATAGCAGGACAGACCGGGTTCTATAACCTTGGATGGCAACTGGTCTACCGCAGAAAGAAATGGCAACCTACTGCGGGATAAAATCTGCCTCGTCAGTCATGTATCGAAAGATACAGGATCGCCTAAAATGTCTAAATAGTGTTGTACGGTATTTGTCGAGGTCTTACAAATATCTTTTGACTATGATGAAAACAGATAGTTTTGTTCTCGCGCGCATCCCTGTGAACAATAATCGGAAGTTATTAATTTTGGACTTACCTGGGCAATAGCTTTGGATCATACAGGGTTGGAAAAGCTTATTTCGATAATCATTAATATCACACGTTGGACACTGACGGTACTTGGATCGCCAACCAGCGCCGCATGTTACCGTACAGTCACTCCATTCTCCCCACGGAGCGAGCGTCGAGGCTGCACATGCAAAAAAAAAAAAAAAAGAAAGAAAGAAAAAAAAATGTTAACAAATTAACTGCAAAAAAGAGAAGAAAAATAACTCATTTTTATCTATTCTATTTTTCTATTTATTTTTTGTGCAAAGAAATTACAAATAAACTAAAGTTAAGCCAATTAGTCATTTTGTTTTCTTGTTTTTCTTTTAAATACAAGTTTATTATTAGCTTGCGTCATAAATAACTTTATTCTTCTTTATCAACTTTATTCTTCAAAAAATAAAGTTCAATTTCATTTTATTCAATTATATATTCCCCGTTATTTGTAATGGCTTGTTGTGACTTTTCAGACTTATTCCGCAGGTTTTGATGTGAAAAATTCTTGAATTTCACTTAAGAAAGTTTCCCTGTCAAAGCGTTTTGCAGCGATCAAAAAGAGGTAATAATTGATTGGTACAGTGTCGAGTAAACATGGCGGATAGGGTAAAACATGGCAACCGAGTTCGAAAATGTTTTCCTGTTGTATTCTTGCTTCATGCGGCCTTGCGGTGTCATGGAGGCGAACAACGCTGCCACTGCCATAGTTTAAGGTATGTTTGCGTACCTCAAATTTATTCTTAACTGATACGCATGATTAATAGTTAGGGTGACACATTTGCCATTACAATTTAATAGGAGTAATTAGGTTCGCCTATCACCCGGTTCGCACGCCTTCCTCATCCTTTGAACAGGTGTAGAGGTTTATCCCTTGTTTGCTGTTTAGAATTAGGTTTCCGGTTCATTCTAATGTCTTCTCATCCTCTTTCACTCCTAGTAATCCCTTGTGTGTTAGTAGCATTATCGCCTTGATCGGGGTGAAATGATTTTTTTTTTAAATTAGTTTCCAAAAACGGATAGATTGATTTATTTTTTACGGTTTATCAACACTTATTTAAAACCAAAACATATTTTGAATTGTAGGAATAATTCTCTTTCTTCTCGGGTGAATCTTACATTAACAGTTTTTTAGAATAACGATAATACTTCCAGAAACAAGTCCTGCTATTTAACCCATAGCTGGGAAGGAGGAGATGGATTCATACCTTTCCCAAGATTATATGCGCGTAATCGAACCCGATTGGAATTCGAACTCAGTTCTCAAAGACGGAAATTACTTATGACTCAACCTACTAGCAAAAAGCAGGCACAATTTATTTCATCGTAACTACTTTTTGTTTTCTAGTTAAATATCGTAATTATTATGAACAAAATATGTCAAAGCAGTTATTATTTATTAAGCATAACTCTTACGTACTTAATGGATTGGGTGTAACGTTTTTTCGAAGAAACTTTTCGACTTCCCCAAACTTAAAAGCAACTCATTTATTAATTATGCACTTTTTGACTCTTTAAATAATTTCCCGATCCCTCGTTTATTAAGACCCACCATTTGTTACATATTGATAAAAATTCCGATATCCTCGTTTATTAAGACCGACCTTTATTGCATATTGAGGAAAATTCCGACCCCCGATTATTAAGGCCCCCATTTATTGTTCTTTAATAAAAATTCCGATCCCTATTATTAAGACCGCTTTATTGAATATCGAAGAAAATTCCGATCTCTCCGATTATTAAAACTCCCCCCACCCGACTCCGTTTATTGCGCATTGAGAAAAGTCCGGTCCCATCTCCGATTATTAAGACATGTAGTAGGCACCTAAGACTAAGGCAAAAAAAGTCAGAAGTGAGACCTAGTGAGGAGAGAACTTATTACTAATGTTCAACCGGAGTAACTCGTTAACCATTACCCCAAAAGCCGAGGCACCTAAATCCGATTAGGCCTGTTTAGAGAGAAAGATATAGAAAAAAAGACTCGAATAAGATTAAGATACACAAAAACTCAAAGGGGACGCTTCTCATCGAACGATATTTATCAGGCAAGTCTAAACGATTTGTTAGTAAGATTGAATGTCACTGAGTGCTTCGTCCCACATTTTTCACAATTATGTCTAGCTGATTTCGCTAAATTCCCCTATCACTGAAATTACAGAAGATGCTAACCTCAACATTCTGTATAACCTGCGGTGGCTTATATTGCCACGAATTTACTTTGCTATGGAGGTTGAAGCGCGGCATATTGACCAATGTTTTTACTGAGCAGCCCTATTTTTTTCGTTGCAGGTACAATGTTCGCACTGTTTTGTGTTTTTTTTTTTATTTACAGTGAAACATTATTCGTGTGGGTAAGTATATTCATACACAACTTTTGTTTATATAGTTTTATATTGGAGGCTTGGGATATATTATTTTTAATAATAAAAGTGACTAGTTTTTAATTTTTTGTAGTAAATAATAAATCTAATGTATTTATTGTTATCGACTGGTTTGATAATCAATACCAATCACATTCTCACAGAGACTCAGCTGCCATCTATCGGATCATAGTACCATCAGATAACACATTAATAAGCAGCATAAGGATCACAGTAACATTAGACAGCTACTCATAACACAATGCCAATTAGCAAAATCAAATAGTAAAAATATACTTATGATTCCTGAAGTAGTACTTATACAAAAGAATCTTCCTCCTTAAATGTATATTTTAAAAAATACGTCACGACACACTATGCCTACGTCACAACACTCCCTAGTTCGACGAAACTCACCAATTGTATCTACATCTCCTGATGATAACTTTAAAAAGTCGAAAGGTTAGGTCATATTTCTGACGGAATTCCTTCCTGGTCTGGGGATTATTCACAATTTGGGAAAGTTGATCATTACAATTAATTGACACAAAATGTCGTTTTAATAATATTTGCCATATATATATATATATATATATATATATAGTGGACATTGGGGACAACAAACGGTGACAGTCTGTTTCATGCTTCAACGCAATCTTCAGGTCATGAGTGTTGTGTTTTGGCTTGACTATTTATATATGCTGGTCAGTAGGGCATTATGGGTAATAACGGATAATGTTTATGATTTCGAATAATGATTATGTTTAAAGTTATTCTAGAGGATATTTAGTAGAAATAATTGTGGATCGGAATGCGGTTATATTGAGAACTCTTACCCATAAATATAGTATAAATATAGTATACCACAAATCTATATTTTTATCATATTGTTGCCGGAACTCGTTGCTAAGTACTAGTGAGGGGGGATCATCGACATTTCCTCCTGTGTGAAAAGAATTCCACGTTGGACCTGAAAAGACATGACTCTACCAATGTGTCGGAATTCCTCAGACGTGTCCCATAGCTCCTGGTGCGACAATGGATGTCTACCAACTCTACATATCATGATTTTCGCCAAAAAATGCAATCAACCAGGACAAACCTGGAAAGCAATGCATTCAAGGCAAGCAGAGATCAGTAGCAAGAGTATTACTTGTTATTAATTATAATAGAATGAAATAGTTTACTTAACTCGTACGTCTGTATAAAATGCTTGCTTGTACATTAATTTAGTGTTAATTCCCAATATTACATTTTAATGGGTGTCTATCATGAGAAGTAAACTGGATGGGAAATTTTTGAGTTTGACGTTTTTCCAACAAAGTGCTACAAATATTTTAAAATGTAGAAATGTAAAACCGGTAAAAAAAATGATTAAAAAAAAAAGAAAAGAAAATGAAAGGTTCGAATTTAACGATCCCATCATGCCCTTATCCCAAGACCTGTACCACTTCGGTTAAATATATCCACTCTTATTTAAAACGTTGGCGTCACCAAATCTTTTTGATCTGATTTCTGATTGACTCCGCCAGTCTTAACTGTATCGTTCAAATGAAGACTTTTGATTATTATTTATTGTTATTTTTGTTGTATTTAACTTGATTTTTGTTGTTTCTTTTTTTCTTTTTTGTCCTTTTCACTTTTCTCTACCATCCTATTTCCGAATGTTATTCTATATTTTTTCTTCCTTTATTGTTTTAATTTTCTCTTAATACTTACCCCAGTACTTTGTACGTATATATATATATATATATATATATATATATATATATATATATATATGAAAAAATATATATAAAAAAACAAACAAAAATCCTTATATACAATTATGCTGTTTTAATGTTAATATGTATATAAGGATTTTTTTTTTTTTTTCCGTATATATTTTCTTCATATATCGGATTTATATCCATATATTTCGGATTTATATATATATATATATATATATATATATATATATATATATATATTTTCTTACCTACTGTTATTTATCAATTCTGAAAAATTAAGTTTTACCATCCCTATTTTTTAGTTGGTAGCAGACATCAAAACTTTACGTCATTACTTAATATGAATTCTTTCCCAAATTTTTTAACGGGTTAAATAGTAGTAGATAGGCTCGCCTATCGTCAAATCCGCAATCCTTTCATGTCTATTGAACAGGAGTAGAGGTTCATCCTTTTCCCTGTGCAGGATATGGTTTACTGGTTCTCTTTCTTTCTCTTACCAGAGCCACAATGATTTAACTGTGTTAACTCATTGGTGATCAGTCTAACCAATGGCTGTGATTTTCCATTATGAGGGTACCGAGTTGGCAGTTGCCTGGTTGTTGCTTCCGACTGGTCATTAGAAGCCCGAACTCTTTGGTAACGTTTAGAGAGGTTACTCCGATCAACAGTCACATAATATCGGGGTATCTGTAGTGCCATGTCGCGCATAGGTAGATGTCATTGCATGTATTTCCAGCGGGCAACTCTGAGGCCACATCATGCTTCGCTCTCAGCTACGCACCGGCTGGTTTGTATTGCCATTGGCGACAGATATTGGCAATTAATTCATTCTCTTTTCTCTCTCTCTCTCTCTCTCTCTCTCTCTCTCTCTCTCTCTCTCTCTCTCTCTCAGAATCTTTCCTCCTGGAAAAGCGAACAGATGTCGTTGCCCTCTGTGAAACCAACTTGAATTCTTTCATTGCTACCAACAAATTCTTGGTTCTAGAGTATCTCCTCCTTTGCCGAAAAGATTCCAGTCTTCACATACATAGCCTTGGTGTTTACATGCGGGATAATCTTCTAATGGTCAGGGAATTGTTTTTCGAGGTCGCTGACTACTCTTTAATGTGCTTCCGTCTTTCTCTGTCAGCTATCTATGTTTCCTTTATCGCCCCCTCTTCCCAAGACTGCAGTATATTAGACGCAATGGATGACAGTATGGAAAAGGCACTTTCTCTCCATCCATCTGCGAACATCTTTGTCTTCGGTAACTTTAATGCTCACCACGACACGTGGCTGAAACATTCTAAATGTACTAATGTTGCTGGTATACAGACATTTAATTTTCCATTGCCCAATACCTCATTCAAATCGTGAACTAGCCAAACCGAGCAACATGTTTCTCTATTGGATCTATTTCTTACCTCCCCTCCACGCTACTGCCAAGCTTCACAATACTGGCCTCTTGGTAACTCAGACCACTCTGTGGTAACTATTGATATCTCCTTTCAAGGATCCATTAAACAGGACCCCACTATCCATAAGACCTCTTTCCGATACCAGCATGCTGATTTGGACCCATTCCTGAATTTTCTTCGTGACTGATATCTTCAACTTTCCAACTGAAAATTGCGCTACTGGGGTTTCTTTTAGGGTCAAAGCCGATATGAACGCTCTCATCCCTTCTCGGAAATACCAGGTGAAACCGCAATCCTCCCCATGGTTCACGCCAGCATGCTAAGGCACTATAGCACACAGGACCTACTTCTTCCGGCTATACCAGCATGACAGCTCTCGTCATAACAGGTGCCTAATTGTTACTGCTCGAAACAAATGTAAGCGAGTCCCCGAAAAAGCTGAGTCCCTGTTTGCTGAGATAATGAGGCACCGCATAGCATCTAGAAACTTTGGCTGTTGTAACTACTGGCGTCTCTGTAATAGGGTACTAAATAAGTGTCAGGTGTTTAATTCCCCCCCTCTCCAATCGATTTGAGGTTTCATCATCCCCCGTTGATAAAGCTGAATGATTTGTCCGTAAATTCTCCTCAAACTCCACTCTTGACTCATCTGAAGTACCCCATGCCTGATTCTCTGTTGAATGATATGTATATAACCCCTTCCATGGTTTCCGCTATAATCTCTAACCTGGATCCCCACAAAGCATTTGGACCCGATGGTATCCCTTTTATAGTCATCAAGAAGTGTGCTTCCGAAATAGCGCCTGTTCTTTCTAAATTACATAATAAATGCCTCAATGCCTCCTGCATTCCCGCTTCCTGGAAGTCATCGTCTGTTGTTACAACTTTTAAGTTCTACCTGTAAATGGAACTTTTTTTAAGTGAGGAAGACGCACATACATACACACACAGACACACATTTATGTGTGTGTGTGTTTATGTGTGTGTGTGTGTGTAATTTCTTTTCTTTCTGATGATGATTCATGTGACTCAAAAGCTGGTACTACGCAAAACCAATTTTGGTTATTTTATACATAAACAACAGTTTTATTTGCGAAGCATTATTCCCATACTAGAAAAAAAGACCAACATTTTTATTAAAATTGTAACTACGCTTTTAAAAAAAAATTTCTACGTAATATATATGTATGTATGTATGTATTACACAATAAAAATTACAAGATATATATACTATAAATGATAAAAATAGTGACTATATCGTCATCAGCAATATTTCTGCATGTGTATAAATAAAGTCGGTCTGAGAAAAGCCCGACAACATAGAAATATAACTTAATATGTCCATAGCCCCATGGAAAATAATGTAGACTAATATCAACTTACTTTCAAAGGTTGGAGTTGTCAAGCTGTTCCGACTATCGCATGAAGAACAGCGGTAAGAGTTTTTCCGTATTTTTTTCTGCAAAATAATATTAAAAAAAAAAAAGGAAAGAAAAGTTAAAGCATTTTCAGATAATCAGGAAGCGAATTGATTTCAAAGTCTGAATTTGTTGCAAACATACAATTGTTACATCTTATCAGGCATCATATGCCTCACTCGTAGATATATATGCGTAAACATACATTCATATTAAACTGTATTTACCTCCAGTGCTTATAGGTTGCGTTCGAGACCAAATAAAAGCAAATATTTTGAATGCTAATTTTCAATACATGAAAACTGATACAAAATAAAAAAAAACTCGTCTATCCTAGTCTAAACTCAACTTAGTAAATACCCTTCTCTTTGTTCGTCAGTCAGGAGTAGTTTCGCCCAACACCGTAAATTGCTACAAAACCATTAACGTAAAACTTCTTAAATAACCTCGTCAAATCAAGGCTGTCATTTTTTTAAGCAATTCGCCCCAAGCAAGGCAGGAGTGCCACTAGCACGCAAGGGGTTAGAGTGAGAGTAAAAGTAAAGAGGAGTGTTTAGGAAAAGGATAAAAAGAAGGACAGGGATCAAGGTCAAGGTCGATTGACATTACATTTGAATATTTGAAGATTATAGCTATCAGGGAAGCAAGTGATAGGAAGGGAGTTCCACTGAAGGGAGGTGCGAGATAAGAAGCTGTTGGAGTAGAAGAGATCGCTATATTAAGTTGTTTCGACAGTGAAAAGATGGGACCGAGATGCCAACCTAGTAGCGCGCTAAATTCATGCAATTTGGGAACCAGTGAAAGTAGCGCGTCGGAACAGTTGCCATGAAAGTACTTGTAGAAAAGGCAGAAGGAAGCAACAGCACGTCTGCGAGATCGCGACTGCAAACGGAGGACCAACCACGTTGCATATCCGTCTATGCCAAACTCATTCAGAAATATTTAAACTGTCAGCTGTATATAACCGTTTACATAGATGAATGGTTAAAAATGACTTCGAGAGAATGTTGCCTGTAGGTCTTAGCGAGAACCTGCCTTCTTTGAACCTTGTGAACTCGTGCTACAACATGACAAAAAAGATTCTGCCAGATAGCAGCACTCCCGTGAGTTGAGGACTTTCAACAGCAGCAACAAATAAAATGGATAGCACTTATAACTCGAAAAGAAAAAGTGACATATTCAAGATGCTGACGTTCCACACTACTCCGAACAAAATGTTTGGATGGAAACACCCATCAGTACTGGAAAGATCGATAACAGTTAATAGAACTCACAGTAGGGTGTTTTCCCAATCATGGGCACGTGGCCGAATGGTTAGAACGTTCGCTTTCTGATCATGAGACTCGAGTTCGATTGGTCAGGAAGGTAACTTCTTGATGTTATCAGTCTGAATGAAGTGATCCCAGCGCGGCACTTTTAGAAAGTGCCTGAAAACCATACCACGACCCAAGCCTTGTGAATGAAACTGGGTAGGCGGAATCCTTGGGAGCCGTCGGTGGTTGTGCTAGCACGAAGTCGCAAGCCATCGGGACCGAGGGTTTGAGCTAGCCTTATTCAGGCTGTTGATCACGCTAAATAATGCGCTATTTCCCAGAAACTATAACTAAGGTCTGCTCAGTATAGTTGCAGCATAAGCCACATATGGGTTCTGTCGGTGTTGAACAAACACAAATGTGCCTGTAATGGGGATAAGCTAGCCGCCTTAATACACTGGCATCCTCGGATTCGACTGACTGCGCCATTTACTTTTTTTGCAATCTTGATCTCTTCAGGTCTAGGTCTAACCATTATCTTTCCTACATAACTGTATGAACTTCCGTTATTGCCTTTTCTTACGCCCATCCAACATCAAGCAGTAACACTCTACCTTGAATGACACTTGTGCCTTATTTCAAATATTTTTTTTCACTATAAACATATTGTTGTTGTTAATCCTGTAAACAACCATGGACATTAGTAAAAAAAAAAAAAAAAAAAGGTCAGTATGAAGCCAAGCCACCCCCCACCCGCTATCTTTCGTTTCGCCAAAAGCCATGACAGTTCCCAGATAATAAAGAAAAGGAAATTCTGGAGAGTCATGATCGTTTACGCTCTGAAGAGATGTGAGAATAAAAAAGATATAATTTTACAAAACAACGAGTCGTTAAATAGGTAGACCTAGACTTGGTTTATATCTGCGTCTGTGAGTATCTACCCGGAAGAGTGGGATGGTGTCTTGTCCCTACGCAGGAGATGCTGTCGGTGTATTCTAAGCCTCACCGACAACGCAAATATAAGTACAAGCCATAAAATTTCCATTTACAAATAATGATGGTATCATGCAAATCATGATGATGCAAACAACACAATGACAACATTGATCCACCTGGAACCACCCATGCATTACACTTAAAGGAGTAGGATCAGGGTCAGGGCCAGTCACAGGCACCTGGGACGCCTCAAAAGGAAAGTGCTAAGAGAGCTGGACAATTTCTAGCACTACTTTCATGTGTGCGTACGAGGCTCCATGTTAATTCCGACTTCAAGAGTGAGTAGGTAATCGTGTAAACGTAATTTATTAGATTTGTGCAAATGTTTACTGCGTTATTTTAACAGGCTTTAAGTGGACAAAGTTATGAGCTTCGAACGTCAGAATCAAATAGGTACAGAAATCCAATTATCTAGGTATTGTAATAACAGATAAAAAGAAGTGTGACAAATTAATCAGAAGGTATATTGGAATAGCGAAAATTGCTCCATAAAAACTAAGCAAAGTGTTGAGAAACAAAGAAAAAGATACTGAAATGTTATGTAATAACAATCCTCCTATATGGCAGCAATATAGTGTATAGCTGCTAGTAAAAGAGGCAGCTGAAGATGTGAGCTGCCAATTGGGGACATCAGAATAACCAAGTACAGAAACTTAATTCTCTGGGTAGTGTAATAACAGATGATGAAAAGTGTGACAAAGTAATCTGAAGGTACATTGGAATAGTGAAAGATGCCTTCCAGAAACTAAGCAAAGTAACTCTTAGCTGTATACAATTGCTTAAATGGCTTTGAGCGAATGATGCCTGTAGGTCTAGAACTGGTGCTACAGAATCACAAAACAAAATGTAAAATATAGCAGCAACCACACGAGAATAAAAGTAAATAATGACATAATAAAGATACTGACTTCCGAACAAAATATCAGAAAGGAAGACCTCCATCAGTACTATAAAGATCGATAACAGTTTATGAAACTAAGAAACCTATTTCCTAAAAAATTGCTTTAAGAGAAATATTTTATAAATTTCAGCTGAAAGTGTCACTGGCTGCTCGGCCAATGGATGCTGACTGTTTCCTTATAAGGAAACAATTAATAATACCATTATGGAGTCTCTAAATTTAACTCATCTATATAATAAATGCGACTTTATATATATATATATATATATATATATATATATATATATATATATATATATATATATATAATAATAATAATAATAATAATAATAATAAATGCGAATGTTAGTGTGTCACTGTGTCACGCTTTTTTCAACTTTTACCCTAGAGACCGTAGCCCAACATATCGTACCATTTTGGAATCAGCTCGACTCCGTGAGCAAATTAAAATAATTCTGGGCCTGATCCGGATTCGCAATCCTGAAAGTTTTAATTCACAAATTTTCATTATTGCGATTGTTTTCGGATTCCGCCATCTTGGCTTCTATTGGTAAAAACAAGCGATAGCTGTACAGACGCATGCTCAGAATACCTTGAACAGAACACGTAAACAACAAGGATGTTCTAAAGAAATTAGAAATACACTCATACTTAAAATAAGAAAGAGAGAGTCGACATTTTTGGAACACATTAGAAGGACGGTTTTGAAAGTTTAGTACTCATTGGGCATATTGAGGGAAGGAGGACTAGTGGGTGGCAGCGAGCAACTTACCAAATGTTTTTACCTGATTGGATGGTAGAGTACGTACAATGAGTGATGGTAAAAAGTCAAAATTTGCTTAGAGCTACAAGGAAAAGGAAGTTGTACAGAGCTATGATCACATACGTCCTAAAGGGGAACGGCACATAAACGATGATACTTGAGTATTCAATCTCTAATTTTCATATAAGAAGCAATTGGGAGCTTCTCTACACATCTAATATGACGGTATAATAAAAGAATAACTTTCGCTTTTTTTATTCTCTTCTCTCTTTTGCACGCTTTTTCACTTAACAAGCAGTACATTCCTATTCTTGTAAAATTAAATCCCAATCCCCTTTCTTTTCTCATAATCATTTTTGATTAATTGCTCTCTCTCTCGACTTAACTATGGTAAACTTGTGTCAAATTAAACCAAATTTTTAAAATATCTACTTGTACAACCACTGGATTATTTTTAAAGATGCAATTAAAGAGTAGTTAATGTTTTGGCGAGAATAACAATGAAAGCATGTTACTCTTTTCTATTGTACTACAAACGAGGACTAATGGTATTCAATTTGTTTGAGCCTACTTTTTTCTTTGTTGTTCTTTTAACGTCCATCCGTAAATAAGACGAGAAATTTCAGAGTATGATTCAGTTTACAAAATACATGCGCACAATCGTTGACGGTTTGTAAGATTAGCGACACCACCGCCATGTGCTTCTTTTTTTTTTTTTTTTTTTGGCAAGAGTCTGTCCTCTTATATGGCAGTGAATGCTGGAAAATCTCATCAAAGATGAAGAAAAGACTTGAAACAATAGAAATACGCCGAGGATACCATGGGCTAGACAAATAAACACGATTTATTGGAGAAAGAAGACACCAGTGAAGAATTGCTTATAATATACGCCAAAAAAGTTGTAATAACTTTTGTGTAAACAAATATATAATCACCAGTACGATTAATACCAGCAAAGTAAAACAGTATCATGAATAAAGTTGAGAGTAATGGATAGCTGCTCGGATTGAGGAATCAGAGAGCTGAGTTCGAATTCCAGCTGAATCCATTACATTCACTTACGTGCTAATACCCTTGGAAAAGGCATGAACACTCTTCTCCTCCCCCAGCCATTGTTAAATAACAGAACAGACCGGGTTCTATAGCCTTGGATTGCAACTGTTCTATCGCAGAAAGAAATGGCAACCTACTACGGGGAAAAGTCTGCCTCGTCAGTCATGTATCGAAAAATACATGATTGTCTAAGCATGTATCACGCATGACACATAACTGACTGAATGTCATAACTATATTAAGAATATCAATGCGATATAAAGGATATAACATGATATTCAAAGCTTCCGTGGAGAGTCTAAATAGGTTTAACTGCCATAATAAAATAAAATCGATTGTAGGCAAAGTTGCATGAAATACAAACGACGTGTGAGGAGGAAAAAAGACAGACATAGAAAAAGAAACCAACAAAACCGCCAACAGAAGGTAGTCAAGGAAAGCGTGAAGAGAAGATTAAATATCAACTACACCAAGACAGAATGCATGATTGTTAACAAAAGGATGGGGCCCCAAATGCAAATTACAAATTGGAGATACCAAAATAAAACACAGTACAAAAATGTAAATATCTGGGAAGTGTTTTAACAGAGGACGGTAAGTGCGACACCGAAATCCGAAGGCGCATTAGGATAGCCAAAGATGCTTTCCAAAAGCTAAGATGAGAAACAGAAATATTCCGTTAGAAACAAAGAAAAGAGTACTGAACTATGTCATGTGATATCTGTTCTCCTACATAGCAGGGAATGCTGCACAATGTCGTCAAAGATGAAGAAGAGATCTGAAGCAACAGAAATGTAATACTGCAGAATGATGCTAGGGTTACCACGGACGGAATATGTGAGCAACGACGAAGTTTTAGAGAAAATGGAAACAGAAAGGAAAATTATATCTAACATCAGAAAAAGTCAGTTGTAATTACTGGAGCACGTAATGGTGGAGGGGGGGGGGGGCTTGGAAAATCTGATACTCTCGGGACAAAAGAGGGATATAGGAAAACAACGTGTACCATACTTGTTTTGTTTAACTAAATAGATAGCAGATCATAGTTTAGGAGAAATAGTAAAACGACAAAATTTATTAAGAGCTTCAAGAGACAGAAAGATGCGGAGGGTTATGATCGCCTACGTCCTGTAGAGACACAGCACATAAAAAAGACGGGTATTGACAAGCTAAGATTAAAATGTGTCCTATATAAAATATGTTTCTTGCGTTTGTTTTTTGTTTTTGTTTTTTTGTTTTTTTTTTCTGTTGATCAATACACATTCGGTCGAAAGTCATCTTTTCAAGAGTAACTTCCTCTTAAAATGCAGAATCCGACACTTTATACTCAATGAACAAATGTAGAATGACTGATCTTATAAATTTGATCAAAGTGACTGGGCCTCAGTTATCGATCTGAACATTTCTAAAGTAGAAACTGAGTGGCTTTTGCTGAAAATATTTCTTTGTTTTTTTTTTCTGTTTCTTTTTGTTTTGTTTTTAGTTGACGCCGTTGTAAATTAGTAGGAACGAATGAGGAATTGTTCTTACACTGAGAAATCTGCAATATTCAGGTGTAGACGGTTAGGCATAGTGTGAGGAATTAAAGTTGCCATGTTTACCACTTATACTCGAAAGAAAATGCTGGGCCGAATCATGACACCGAGAAAAGTTCAGTTGAGAATCTTTTGCGGAAAAGATATTTGATTTTATTGAAAAAAAAAGAAAAAAGAAAATACTAAGGAATAAAAAGAGGGGGAAAACTGGCAAGAAAGAGGATGAATGTATGTGTGTGCGTGTGTGTGTGTGTTAAAGTGATAAAATAGATAAACAGGCCTGAATATGGAATAAAGAGAAAGAGCGGCGGGAGCGTGAAAGATATAAAAAACCGGGGTGGAAAAAGAAGAGAAGAACGAAAAGAATCTAGAAGTGAAAAGGAAGAAAAAGTTAGTGAAAAGATTGGGAGAGGATGAGAGAAAGAGTGAGAGAGAAGAAAAATGAGATATATAAACGAATGGTAACGAATTGGGAAAAGAGAATGTTAAAAAAGAGAGCGATATCAAATCTGAAAGTGAAAAGAAAAGCTAACATAGGGAATTAACTGAAAGAAAGAGAGAGAGAGAGAGAGTAAATGTAAGAGATATAAACAAGTTGTAACGGTGAAAAGAAGGGAGGGAAAAGCGAAAAGAATCTAGGTGAATATGTCGGCAAAATGGCAAAATAGACTTTCCATTTTGCATTAGATACGTGGGGGTGTTCTACGTCACAGACTAGAAGACATCACAATAATAGTAAGTGTTTAAAAGGAAGGCAGGAGATAGTGAAAAAAAACAGAGAGAGTGAGGGAGGAAAAGTGATAGGGTAAGTGAGAGAGGGAAGGGGGAACGCTAAAAAGGGAGGCAGAAGAGAAAAGAAACTCGAGAAGTGAAAGGAAAGTTGGGGTAAAAAGTGAAAAACAATGAGAGTGAGAGACAGAGAGAGAGAGAGGGGGGTGTTACAACAAGGTGGAGGAAGAGAACGTTAGAAAGAGAGGGAAGAGAAAAAAGAAAATCTGGAAGGAGAAAATAAAGTAGACATAGTGAAAAAGCTGAGAGAAAGAGAGAGAGAGAAAGACTATAACAACTATGAGAGAAGGACCGTAAGTTGAGAAAACGAACAAAAGAATAGCGAATAATAAAGTGAATAAACGAAAGCATTCGTTAAAGAACGTTAAAATCACTATGAAAGAAAAAATAAATATTTACTAATCTTAGCTTGGTCTGACATAAGGCCAAAATAATGGCGCGTCGAGGCTCAAACGCATGAAATAACACGAATTTGAGAAGCAAACATCATAACGTGTTTAGCTCTGAAGGAAATTTCTAGACATTCCCGAATTTCAAAACCAGTACTTATAATTTTATAAAAGTTAACTCTCTATATATTTATGTGAGAATGCTGTTTTACAATCCCCCTTGACTTTGGCTGTAAGTTTAGAATAGACATATAATCTAATATTGTTACAAATTTTACAATCTTAAAAAGTTTAAATGCAACGTTAATCGCCATCTTATGTCTTCTAGAACCCCGTTCACCTTTTGTCATTCGTATAAACCCCTGCGTACATATGGCATTACCGCCTTGCTTGGGGTGAAATGATTTTAAAAAAATGGATATCGATGCGGAAAGTGCACTCGGACAAACGAGTTCAAATTCCGAGGCATGAATACGTCTCTTCTCTCCACCCTAACAAACTATGTGCTAAATAACAAAGTACATTCTCTACGATTGGTGACAACCAGTCAAAGAAGAGGAAAACTTCCAAGCCGTAGAAAAGCCAAAGAGAAAAATTCCACTATCTTTCCCAAAATTGCAAAATAATTCACAGATAAAGAAAAGGAGAGTGACCTATGTCCTGAAGGGACGTCACACAAGATATAAAACATAATACACACCAATTATTAACCAATGTTGTAGATATATAAAGAACCCTTTGGTGGTGGGTAGTAATAAAATTTCGGCTCAGAAGGTCCGCAGAGGGGAGTAGTGACTAATTTGCATTTATTAATCCATTTATAATGAGAGAATAAATATATTTTTAAAGAAGGATTTAATGAAATGACTTTTGGTTTGGAAGCGAAATCTGGGCTTACATTTAAAGGAATTATTGGATGGACGAAAACAAAAATGAACCAACATGAACAGAAGTTTTGTGCAACGTTTGGACTCATTTTACTAGCTTTTCCAGGTTCGTATCTGATGGAATCTGGGTTCAGCCATGTGCATGATTTATTAAGCAATCAGAGAAGTACTTTGAACATAAAATGTGGTGATTTGTGGCTACACTTGTCAACAATACCAGAAAGAACAGTCTTTAGCTTTTAAAGACAGCCTTTAGCGTTTAAGGGTAGTCTTTAGTTCTTAAGGACAGTGTTTAGTTCTTAAGGACAATGTTTAGTTCTTAAGGACAGTCTTTGGCTCTTAAGGGAAGTCTTTAACACTTAAAGACAGTTTTTAGTTCTTTCTGTACAAAACAATATTATTCTCTATTATCAACAGAATCTTGTTTCCTCCAAGAAATGATGATACTACTACTGCCTTAACCGGGTATTGAACTCACACTCTTTGGGTCCTGTGTTAAGGCAGTGGAGAACTTTCAGAGGGAAATTAACAGGTGATAACTGATAACTGACATCCATTAAAACATGGCACGTGGAACTAGAACAGTCTACCCCAGTGAGTGAAATAAAGGGTTCAGTTCGACATTCCAACCACCTGAAGAAGGCCGGGGCGTACTACGGCCGAAACGTTGTAATAAATATGGCGACAAAGATGAGGACAATAGTCCGAATAATGTAAATAATGTTCACTCAGATAAAGTTAAAATCTCTGCACACTCATTGCCTTCTGCTAATTCTTTCTCTTTCCCTTGCTTTCTTTTCTTTCCCTCTCTCTCTTCACTCATCTCTCTCTCTCTCTATCTGTCTATCTATCTATCTTCTTCTGTTACCAAATGCGTTGTCTGTTCCAAAACAGCAAACTAGTGGTTAAAACTCTGACGACTTGAAAAGTGGGGGAGGGGTGAACTATGTGGGCTTGGTTGTCTTTGTTTAAAAAAAAATGTGTGAAGACAGTACGGCTGCAAGAATAGAAAGGACAGGACGTGTCGTCGCACCCAGATTCATTGGTGCTACGACGTATCAATAGGTATTTCGTTAGTCGGTTGATATTCTTCCTCTGTAACTCCCTCTCCCTTCCTCCAAGTAATGATGATACTACTACTACCGCCCTATGACATAAAGCGAGTATAAAAGAAAAATGTGCGTCTTTCATTCAGTCTGTGAAGCAGAGTTTGGGTCTGAATAATTGAAGCCAGATAAGATACGAAACGCAACAATTCACACCCCTAAAGGCACGAATTCAAACAAGACATGCAGCCATTGTGTGGAGTTACAAACCTCTTTCCAAGCCCATCCAGCTCCTTTGCCAGCACAACATTCACTGGCAGATGCGTAAACCCTTTTTCGGAGTGGCCGTTTACAATCTCCTTTCCACTGTCGAAATTTCTTGAAGCACATAACTGCGGCTGAAGAAGAAAAAAAAGAAATAGAAAACATTCAGATTAAAATTCAAAGCGTTAACAAAATTCTATTTGGTTATTTCTATAACATTTCTATAATGTATGGCAAAATAAATCCCATTGCTTCGAGAAATGCTATGAAGGGCACATGATAACAAAAGAGTTCGTGGACCAAGGTTGCATTTAAAAAAAGCATGTAACTGTGTAAAACCGTCTTACCCGTTGGGAAGCTAGTTTTTGGTTAAATGTATAGTATATAAAGCGACGATTACATTTGAAGGGCAGTCTAAAAATACAAATGTAAGATCTACGGAGGGACCATTTAAAATACGGTATTATAACCAGAAATCATCCACATTCTACTTCATTGTCTAGTTATATATCGGATATATATTTATATTAAATACCCGTTATTAAAATGGGAAATCATTACGCGTGTCTCAAGTTATAATACATGTGCTAATTTTTTTTCGGTTGTGCACAGAGGAGAAATTAGTAATTGCCTCTCAGAGCCACGAGGAATAGGAAGTTGTGGAGGGCTCGTATCCCCACTCTGGCGAATTAGTAAATAGAAGAACCAAAATCTTATGCAAATGAAAGTATGCTAAGAAATTTTAACCTCGTACTAGAATCATACTGGCTTCTTCTTCTTCTTCTTCTTCTTTTTCTTCTTCTATGTGCCTTGTTTCTTCAGGACATAGACGATAATGGCTCTCCACAAATCCATTATCCTTCGTGGCTTTTAGCGGCGTTATTCCCTTTGCCAATACTACCCCCCCTTCATTCCGCCATCCATTTACACACGTTCGTTATTTAGGTAGCTCTCTGCCTCCCACTATCACTCTTTCCCTCAATATACCCCGTGAGAGTTTAGTTTTCTAAGTCCTCTTTTCTTATTCGTCCAAGAAATTTCAGCCATCTCTTTCTAATTCTGAGTATCAGTGTCCTTTTAGTTACCATTTTCTTTAAGACGTCATCGTTACTAACTCACTTCATCCATGGAATTCTCTTCCTGTAGAACCATATTTCTGTTGTTTCCAGTTTCCTCTTCATCTATGGTGATTCCTGAATTCACTGCCACACAAGAGGATTGATATAGCAATTCGCACTCTTTTCTTTGTTTCTAATGAAATTTTCCTGTTCCCTAGTACTTTGTTTAGCTTTTGGAATGCCATTTTGCGTTAATCCGATGCGCGTTCGGATTTTGGTGTCGATTTTCCCATCCCCGTTTAAACACTTGTCAGATATTTAAACTTCTGTACTTGTTTGACGTTGACATCTCCAATTCTTAGATTGCGCCATGAGCTTTTTCTCTTTCTTACAACCACCCTTCCTTTTTTTCTCTCGATTTCCTTTACTACCTTGTCTAGGATGTCCTGTAATTTTCTTTCTGTGTCTGTCATCGACACGGTGTCATCTGCATATCTTATATTGTTAAGACTGCTCTCCCGATAATATGTCCCAGTTGGGTCTTCAGCTCCATTAGGCTAGCCCCACCGTAGATGTTCAACAGATCCAGAAAGAAGATACATCCTTGACTTAAGCTCTTTTCTATATTAGTATACTTACTCAATTTGTTTTCTATCCGTATGTAGGCGGTTTACTCCCGGTATAAGTTCTCGATTATTCTAACATCCTTTTCGAATAGATCTTAGTTTTCCGGTTTAATTCTACTTCGAGCGTTAGTTATCAGGATTCGGATTATTAGCTTGATTATATGGTTCATTAACCTGGTTGTCCGATGGAGCTCGCATTTAGTTGCACCTGGTTTCTTAACTCATACTGAGGTCCATAAGCATGTTCTCACTGTCCTATATTTCGTTTGGTATTTCTGTGATACTGTCGATGCCGAAATTGTCAAAGGCTGTAAATATTTCTATTATAATCCCATCTGGTTCTGATGTTTTGTTCTTGTTCATCTTGTACAGAGCATCTTCAGACTTTAATATGTCCGACCCTTCTATATTTTTGTGTGTTGTAGGTTTCTCTCTATCTATGAAATAGTTCTCTGGTGTATTCTCTTAATTTTTTAAAAAAATAGGTTTCTCAAGTCTACTAACTGTTATTGCTCTTTCCAGTATTGATGGGAGCCTCCTTCCTAACATACTATGGAACGGCAAAATCTTGATTATGTCATTATTTTCTCTTCGAGTTATATGTGATATCCATTTAGTAGTTACTGTTGTTGAAAGTCCTCAAATGACGTAGATCCTGTTATCTGGTAAATGTGATTGTGTAGCGCAAGTTCACGAAGTTAAAAAAGGATAGTCCTCGCTAAAACCTACATGCTTCGTTCCTTCGAAGCCATTTTTAATCATTGATATGTGAAAATGGTTGAAGGCAGCTGACAGTTTATATATTTGCATGATGTTCGCATAAAAGTGTCGATCTTTTACGACGACGACTCTATTAAATACAAAAGAAAGTATTAAAAAAAAAAGTATTGAAGATTTTAAAAAGTCTATCCGGTGGAGTAATGGATAGCGGCTCGGATTGAGGAATCGGAGAGCCGAGTTCGAATTCCAGTCGAATCTATTACATTCACTTATGTGCTAATAACCTTGGGAAAGGTATGAATCCTCCTCTTCTCCCTCATGGGTAAACAGCACGATAGGCTGGGTTCTATAGACTGGATGGCAACTGGTCTACCGCAGAAAGAAATGGCAACCTACTGCGGGAAAAAAAATCTGCCTCGTCAGTCATGTATCGAAAGATACATGATCGCCTAAGCGTGTATCACGCATGGCACATAACTGACTGATCGACAAAAGTAGTGTGAGTGAGTAGTGTAACGAATATCAGCACTGAAAGTAAAATCGGTGGACGGGGTTCATATTCCAAACTAATCTGTTGCGTACACCTTTGCACAAAACGCTTTTGGAAAAGACTATGAAGTCGTATCTTCTCCGTCCTGCTGGAGGTTAAATAGCCTGGTTGTCCGATGTCTCCATCTTTGGGGGGGGGGAACTAAAAAGGAAAACTATGATCTCAAAACCGTGGAGAAGGCAACTATCTTTCCTATAAACGCGTGGCAATTAACAGATAATAAAGAAAAGGAATATATGGAGAACTATGACCTCATAAGTTCTAAACAGACAGAGCATTAAAAGCAAATCCACAAAAGCATCATAGTGCAAAGAAGCAACTTCAGTAACAAAAACAATAATATATACAATGACAGCAGTGAGAATAATAATGTTAATAACAATGGCATGAATCACTGTGGCACAAAGGAAATTTAATATACAAGCTACACTATTCCATACTAACGTGTATTTCTTCTTAAAGATCAAATAGACTTAATTCGTGACTTAAAACCATTTAATGTAACTTCCGAAAATTATATAACCATATTGAGATGAATGGAAAGCTTTGAAGCTAAACAAACCGACAGCATTAGCAATAGCAAAAACAACAACGAGAGTAATAACAAAAACAACAGACAGTAACGTTGCGTAAGGTTGAAGCGAGACATAATATGGCGGTATCGTTCTGGTGGAGCGATTGTTGAGAGACGAGTCGCATGTGTTGATGATAACTGACTTCCGGCGGAGACGCTAGGAAAAAACATCAAGAAAGATCCAGTTACTTTTAAAAATGGCGGAGAGGACGAACCTGGAGACTAAATGACAGCCAGATGATCCGGTTGCATACCGAGCACAAACTGTGCACAGAAAAACAAAACCACGCGTCAACCCATATCTGCGAACAGAAGCATCAGTACATATATGCACAAGTATGCGTACAGAATAAGATTAGAAACTTCTTTAAAGTGTGGATATTGAGTATAATGTTGGGAACCTGCGCTGTTTGTCTTCAATCTCTCTTTTTTAGACAAAGTCAATTGGGAAAATCAGCGACTTATTTCATGGTATTATTATCGAATACTTTCTCTCGTCAAGAGAAGGCGAATGTGTTTTGGTTTTGTTTTACTGTCGCCGTTATCACTCAGTAAGTAATGCTACAGTTGGCTGCTCATATCCAAGTATTCTGTGCACAAGGGTGGCTAGCCAATCCCTACTGAAAACGCCCGCTCAGGCACATTTGCGATAATTCAACGTTCACAGAGCCAACTTGTGATTTATACTGCAACTAAGTTGAGCGGAGCTTAGTTGCAGTTTCTGGAAGAGAGCCCATAATTTGGCGTGTTCAGTAACTAGACAAGGCAAGTAAACACAAGACCTTCGTTACGAAGACATGTGACTATGTTAGTATCGATCGCTTTTGAACTTTATTCGGGGAATTTGAGCAGTGTGTGTGAAACGTAAAGTAATACAGACTTTTACTGTTACCCTTTGTAAGAAGACGATGGAAACTAAACAATTGCTTAAGTAATTTTCATGGTCAAATTCCCAGAACCTTTAGCTCGCAGTTCGCATAATAAAGCTGTGTGGCTAAATAAAACTCTTCTATAGTAGGATTTTACAAGCAAATAGTAGTTGTGTGTTACTTCGCTGTTAATCGCCTGTTAATTTTTTCAACAAGTTGAAAGAATTAACAGTCGATTTTTTTCTTCTTTTCTTCGCTTAGTTTGTTTAATGGCATATTCAACTCTTTATGGGTCATTTTTGCCGAAACTTAATTTTCTTGGGAGCTTTTTTTTTTTTCAAAAATGCATATTTTTACAAAAATCTATTTCCGGTATTTTTTTCTTTTTCCTTGTTACAAAAATGTATTGCTCGTAATTTTTTACCGTGAAAATATATTTTTATACTTTCATAGTGTTTTGACCCAAGTTTGGGAGCTGACTATTTGTCCATAGCTGGGACCCTAACAGGTGCTACCACCACGTGTCAGGGTGAACCTGGGAACAATAACAATTAAGAGGTGGTTCCATGCTCCCCAGAACTTCCCTATCAGAGGTTTTGCTGCCGGATGTAGCTTATCGTCATATCTCGGGCGCGTCTTCGCTTAGAAATTTAGTTAAGAAAATAGATAAAAACGGATAAAAAAAATGAAAAATGTAGGATTTTGAATGACCTCACCACGAATTTATTCTAAAATAAGGAAATGGCACGGACAACTAGACAATTTTGG